TCTGGGCTGTAATAATTTGTAATAAACTCTTAGGGATGGTTAGTAAAAAGGGTGGGTAACTATGTATGCAAAGGTTAGATATCCTACCTATAGGTACTTCTGAAATTCTACATTCTCACATAGATATCCTGCCTATAGGTATTGCTGCATTTCTCACATAGATATCCTGCCTATAGGTATGTCTGCATTTCCCACATAGATATCATGCCTATAGATATTCCTGATTTCTGCATTTCTCACATAGATACCATGTCTATAGGAATTTTGCATCCTCTCATATAGAAATCATGTCCATAGGTACCGGGAAATTTGAATTCTGTGTATAGAAATATGCCTATAGGTCCTTCTGAATCTTGTATATCCATTCTTCATCAGACAATCAGGTTTATAGGTCTTAATCAATAAACTGCAATTAGATATCATGTTCATAAGCTTTAAATGAAATTCAACACCTAGATATCATGCTTATAGGGTTTCTGCATTTTACCATGTCTGTTAAAAGGGGTTTAAAATCAACACGCATAGAAAGCATGTCTATAGGAGTTATTACTCAAGTCTGAATCGTTTCACTCTCTTATAAGTCTAAAACCAGTAATAATGATGCACCATTTGCAGAACCTATAACCTTTTGCAAAAATTTGTTTTTCTTTAACGATTGATGACTTCTCTTAAATCAGTATGTATTCAGTTTACTTTATTGTTTCTGAAATCAATAGATGTCATGCCTATAGGATCATCGTCCAACACCTAGGCAAGCCTTAGGGCTAAAATTATAAACTGAATCAGATTTTATTAGTTGCAACCAGCAGGCAGGCCTGATTCGGGCTTCTTATCTGAACTATGTAATAAATCAGTCTGCCTCAACCTTTAAGTTTTGATTAGACCCTAAACAGTATGTGCAAGACATGCTAAATTATGTGTTTCTCTGTCAAAAGAGGTATATCTGAGCCTTTTACTTGTTATGTGCCTCCCACAACTTGCTATATGTGTTTTGTATGTCGCCTTAGAATTCTACCTTTGAAACTACAAATAAGCCTAATATCCCTCCCTTTTAGGATTAGTAGTCTTAAATACCTCTAGGACTGGATTGGGGCGAGTAATAGCATGCAATAAGTAAACGAGACCATTCCGCGCTTTAATACCTTAACGGGGTGGGAAAAGGTAGATATGGATATGATGACCACGCGATAATATCACGTGTAGCTCCTCACTGAGGAGTGATTACCGGATGTTATATGGGATGATCCATATTATTAATAAACCTAGGACTCCCCTTTCCCTTTGTTTCTTTGTTTCTTCTAAAGATTTCAAACTCTTTTTTAAGAAAAATCAGTTTTCTTTTAGTTCTTTCCAACTTTATTTGTTTATAAACCCTTATGTGAAAATCTCCTCTCATTTGAGCTTTATTTGTTTACGTGTTATTTTCACCTAAATTCATAACAATAATCTGGCCGTGAACCACACTAGTTGATCCTGAAGGGTGCCTAACACCTTCCCCTTGGGATAATTTCAAGCCCTTACCCAATCTCTGGTTACCCAAAACAAACCCTTTCCTAGTGTCCTAATGCACTTTAATCATTAGGTGGCGACTCTTCAATTCAAACCCAATTCCCAAAAAGGAGCGAATT